TTTAAAATAATAATAATCCATTATATTGAGTGGTCTATTGATCAAATTACTTCTTTCAATTAATTAATCTTTTTCATTTCGACCAAAACTGTACATAAAAAGATTAATAAATTGAAAGAAGTAATTTGGTCAATAGACCACTAAATATAATGGAAGTAAAACGAAGTACAACTTCACTAACAGCTCCCCTTGGCTATATAGCGCAGAGATCGAATCCTGATTACACGACATTTGAAAAATGGCAAAAAAGGAGGGAAAATTCGAAAGACTGTAGGTTGAGATGGGAAGTTGGTGTCCGAGTGGATCGAAGCCACGATAGCTCAAGTGGTAAAGCAGCGGCGTATTTAGCCGAAGGTCGTGGGTTCGAATCCCTCCCGTGGCTCTAGCTCTTTCATTTCAACCAAAACCGTACATAAAAAGATTAATTAATTGAAAGAAATAATAATAAGTAAGTGTTGTATACTTTTTAACACCCCTGACAACAGGGAAGACAGGTTGACAAATGAGATTTTTCCTCTTTACTTATTTATAACAAGAACACAAAAATGACAGTACAACAGGTTAAATTCATTTAGAAAAACACTTAAATACTCCAATTTATGCAAAAAGAAATTAATAATTTAAGTTTAAAATGGGCAATTTAAATGTTAATTGAAAACAAACAACCAATTTAGTTCGCTTGAGGCCAACGCTCGGAAAATTAAATTACATTAACACAATTACCACGCCAAGACTACGACCGGTTGAGTTTTTCCTTTTTCCCCACAAATATTGAAACAGCAGATCGAAATGTAAATAACGCAAATAGAATGTTTTCTTCAAGGGGTACGAAGTAAAGTTTGTTATGTAGGGTTCCAATATTCGAAGAGGTGAAAAAAGTAGACTAAATGCTGGGTTCACCGAGCTTTCGACCCCTACATAGATTATCTGCAGGTCGATCAACAAACAGAAAGTTTGTTAACCAATGATAGTTTTACTTTTTGTTGGTTTTTGGATACAAAAAAGGCATAAAGAAGAAAACAAGACCCACTGAGATGAGTGTAAGTAGTTATAACGCTTGAAACTTTTTGCTTAGTTGTATATTGTTATACACGTACATAACTTGTACTGACATCAGCTTGATACAGCTATAACGAACGAAAAACTGTTCAATTGTTTGTGTATGTGTTTTAATACAACAAATCTTATTATATCCTGATAAATTACACAATCAAGTCACAGTAACGCTTACCATATAACAAATCTGTAAAAAATAATTTCATCAGCTAATTAATTGTTTCGAATTCTCTAATACTCCTTTAACTAGGTTGTTGATCTTCAAAAATTCAGATATTAAATTATTATTCCCGCTACGTTCTTTGGGCCAACGTAATTAACTATCTGTATTCTTTAGAGCGTAAATATGTTTGTTTGGAACTAACTGTAACGTGAATGTTAAATATAAAAGAAGAGATGTTTAGAAAGGGAGGATATGAGATATTACATATAAATTAAATTTTTTAATAAACATGACCACTCCTCCACTCTCGTGGGAGGCATTTAAAAGTAATTTATTCAAATAATACAAAAGTAAAATGTATGTTTGTATAGTTGAGCAAACACATATTAAACAAGTTGGATAATTTACCAACTTAGTTTCGATTTTAGGGCATGCAAACTATACTGAGAGGCAAAAAATGTGGCCCCTCTAGGTTTCTTTAGGAAATGCTCGTAATCGTTATAATTATTATTTTTCGCTGTTTACTGGATACTTTTAAAGAAAAATATACGATATAGCTAAATAAACTGACTAAAACAATTTTATCAAAAATATTGCTATGGAAACAATGAAGAAAATATTCAATTTAGTACGGATTATTTCCTCCTCTTGCGTTGATGACTTGCATTCGACATGGCATTTCAGCGCTATTTTCCTGCAAATCTCTGGCATCACTGGGCGACGTTTTACCATCTTTGACAAATTGGTTCGATAGGGTGTAAGTAGGGACTACAAGCTGGCCACAACAAACATTGAATTGAAGCCAGTTCCATGTAGTCTCCATTCCTATGTGGGGCTTGCATCGTCATGCATAAAAATAGAACTTCGCCAGTTAGTGGCATAAAAGGAACAACTTCTTCAATGTATCACGCAGCTGTTGGGGATCCCTAGATGAAGATCAAGTTTGTGAGACCTTCCATGGACTTGCTTGCCAAAACCATAATACCACCACCTTCATAGCCTCTCCGAAGAGAAAATGTTGCGGGGATATTCACTCTCCTATTCTTCTCCAAACCAAGAGGCCGTCAGAAGATATCAAACGAAACCCGGACCATACGAAAACAAGATTGGTCTTACCAATTGAAATTATTTCTGGCGAAACTTAACCGAGCTGTTCTGTGCATTGTCAGAAGTTCTGGACCAGTGGCAGACCTTCTCAAATGTAATCCAGCGTCTGAAAGTCTCCGCAAACTGACATTAACATTTCTAACTTTTTGAAGTAGTTGCTTGATCTGAACAGGGGTAGAATGTCGATTACGGAGTACATACGAAACAATAAAATTTCTCTGAGATGCGACACGATGGTGACCTGATCCATGCCTTCTTGTGTAACCTCCAGTATCTTAGTAGCGATGGATGACCTTTCGGACAATTGTTTTGGGAATTATTCAGAAATCGTGAGATGAGTTCTAGTGTGCCTGGTGTTTTGGGAATGTTCACCACCTGACTTCTTCAATCTTCCAACCATGCTATGATTCTAGCCTATGGAAACAATGAAGAAAATATTCCAATCAGTACGGAGTGTTTCCACCTCTTTCGTTGATCACCGCTTGCATTAGACGCATCCATTTTGTGAGGTTTTGAATGTAGTACAGTAGAATATTTTCCTACTCCTCCAACAGCGCCATTTCTAATTCCTGCAAATTCTCTGGTATCACTGGGTAATCTATATTCTCCCTACCAGCTCGTCACAAAGGTGTTCGATAGGGTTCAAGTCAGGACTACACGCTGGCTACTCCAAACATTAAATAGAAGCCCATTCCAAGTAGTCAACAACGTTCCCAGCTTTGTCATGAACAAAAATTAAAGGCCAATTAGTGGTATGCAAGGGACAACTTTTTCTGATAACACATTTTCAATGTATCGCGCAGCTGCTAGGGAACCCTCGACGAATATCAAGTTTGTACGACCTTTCATAGAAATGCCTGCCCAAACCATAACACCACCTCTATAGCTTCTCCGGAGGAAAATTGTTGCGGGGATATATCGCTCATCTATTCTTCTCCAAACCCTCTTTTTGCCGTCAGAAGACCTCAAACGAAACCCGGACTCATCCGAAAACAAGATTTAGTCCATTCTTAATCAGACCAATTGATGTGACTTCTTACAAAACTTAACCGAGCTGTTCTGTGCCTTGGAAGAAGTTCTGGACCGGTGGCATTCCTTCTCAGCGTAATCCAGCTTCTGTAAGTCTTCACCTTCAGAGCGTAAGCTGACAATACCATTTCTAACTTGTTAATGTCGTTACTTGATCTCAACTACATAATGTGATTACGGAGTACATTCGAAAAAATTCATGGTCATATCTCGTAGATGTAACACGATAACGACCTGATCCATGTCTTTTTGAGTAACCTCCAGTATTTTGGTAGCGATAGAAGAAGAACCCTTCGGACAGTTACTCTGAGAATGTTAAGTACCATGGCCAGATATACTTGGCTTCTTCCATCTTCCAACAATGCTATGATTCTAGCCGAATCTGTATCACCTAAAACCATCGCTGAAACAAATTTGCAACCTACAAATGCTACAACTTAAAATCTAACCACCGGAACGTTAGAAAGAAGCTTTACATAAAAAATGACTTTTTTTTTTACTGGGGCTTCCGGCATCTAGGTTATTTCAGCCCCCAACTATGTCTATATTCTATTTACCCTTTCAACACTACATTCATACAAATAAATACATTCATACACATAAATACATCCATACAGTACACTGATTCCGTTTGGTCGGTGGAGTACTTGATATTCCTCCACCGACCCTATATTCTAGATTGGGGTCGATGGAGTACTTTTATAAATATTCCGCCATCGACCCCGAACACACACTCTTACGCTCTCATCGTTCGAGGGGTGATGACGACGTTATATTTTACCCACACCCCCCGCCATTCACGCTAATAAATACATGCACTCAGACAAAACATATAGACACACAACCTTAAAAAAAAAAAAGACTATTCAAACATCTATTTACATAATCCAATTGTAAACGAGAGATTTGATCAGTGTTTTATTTACCTCCAATCCCTTAAAACAGCATAATATTGTTGAAACATACAACTGAAAGGAGGATTGTCTAAGATATAATTAGAAATATTATGGTGGCCAATTTTTTGCCTCTCAGTGTACACTGGTCCTCGCTAGCCCTCTCTTTCTTGTCTTTACACTTCTTTTCATATTTTTCTAGCGTTTTAAACCAAAAAATTTCTTTTAGTGTTTCTCCAGCCAAGTTATGAATGTTTTATGTTATAATGGTAACCTCCTCTCTCTTTTCTTTATCCTACTGCTAGCTTGTCGGTAACTCAGGGCCTCATCAGTTGTAGATAAAATAACTCAAATAACAAAAATAAATACACAGAAACAAGTTAAAAACATGATAGTCCGGTTAGCAATGACACTATCACAGAGTACTCGATATTCCTCAGGCTCATTGGGAATGCACGCTAATAAATGACATTCCCACCCTCTTAGTTCACTCACACAAGAAAAGGATATTTTTATTTTTTCTATGAATGATGTTTACGAGAAAAGAAAAATACAAGAGAGATTCAAGAAAAAATCTTACCAAAAATCTGAACAGCTTGCTTTTTAAAAGCAATTTATTCTTTCAAACCAACGCAAAAGATTTATGTAAATTACACCGTTTTACATTTTATGTTAAAAAATTTTTCGCGACTTGTAACGTTTTTCTGTTGGAAGTACCGCTATTTTTCAGAGTTTTATACAATTTTGCTCACCTGATCGCAAATAAGGTCCCATTTTTTCTCGATGTCGTATTGCTTGAGAAGTTTCGCCTTATCCGGGGGCAAGTCCATAGAGGCCTAGAAGAAAAAAAACAGGTTTACACACACTTCTAAATAAAACACTAGAAATAGTAAGAAAATGGCAGGGTGAAATTGAATAAGAGAAAAAAATATCCTCCCCCTTTTATTCTATTTTAAGACGAGGAACACCTAAGTGGAAATAAAAGGGGAGGATTACAATTCAAAGCCGTTTCCATTCTTTTTTAAATCTTACATTTAAACAAATCGGGCAATGGGGGCATTTCTCCCCTTGGGAAGAATAGTCCGACGCAGTCTATTGACGGAAGTCGGGTCATTTATTTCAATAAGAACACACTCAGGGCGAAGCATCCTGTTTATCCAAGACCTTCCTGCTTTTTAGAGCAATCAAATAGTTTATGTTAAAATTAACTAAAAGAGGAGGAAAAAATCATGAATCGACAAAAAAAAATCAAACGGAACATGGTCAAAATACGGGTTAACAGACAAATTAACTCGAAAAACACCAAAATGAAAAGAAACCGACACTTTTTCTTTACTAACGACTACTACAATTCATTCCTTAATAATGCGTTTTAAAACAAAAAAACGTCAAACTGGCAAAAAAATCCTCATAAGATCTGATAGTAAATAGTCATTAAAGCATTTGGATGTAAAAGAATCAAAACAAAATTAGTCAGTGATTGCATTGAGAAACACCTGATGATATTTTGGGTGCCAGGGCACAGGGGAATTTTGGGTAATGAGAAAGCAGACAGTCTGGCCAGAGGAGGATCCGCAAGACCATACATAGGCCCCAAACCTACACTTGGGATAACAAACACAATCGTCCATCGTAGGATGGATCCAAACAAAACAAAAGGGGAAGTGGATAAACCCTAGCGGTGCTAGACATAGTAAACTTATGATGAAACAACCCTCACCAAGACTGGCAAAAGCATTGTTGCAATTGGAGGGTGCCAAACTCAGAGGTAGGACTACTAACAGGTTTCTGGCATCCGAGAAAACATATACATGACATGGGTATATACAGCGATAATCCCATTTGCAGATTATATAATAAGGAGGAGGAAACAACCACCCATATCATCTTCGAATGCGAAGCAACAGCTCAATGGAGATTTAACCTAACGTATCGAAAAATCTCAGGGAATTGCAGCAGCGACAGTCAATGACATGATACTTCCAAGGAGAAGGATTGAGTTTATTAGACTGAACCAAGAAACTAGGAAGGTACAATAATCCAAAAGGCTGCAGTGCCTGGGGAGCACAAACTCCGCTTCCTAGTATCCTTTTTTTACCATACCATACCATACCATTTCCACAAACGGTTTCCCTTGATATTAACGAACCTTTAATTTCCCATAGTTTTTGATGTGACGATTTGGAGATGATGCTAAGGGTACGACAGAGGGTGACCTACCAGCCACCCAAAATTAAAATATGTATATATTTTTTACATATCTGAGCTCTGTTGTTATACTGTAATTTGGTATATTGCTTGTCGATGTTTAAGGAAGAAAACATTTTAAATAACGTATAAACATACGTTTTCCATCATATTCGATTCAAGGAACCAGAGTAACTAGGTAAACCGATAACCAATATTCACAATAATCATAAAGATAATAAGATCAAACAATTTTTTATAGTGGATAATTCACATAAAAGAATGTACTGACCATATTATTCTTTATTTAACTATTATAAGGGACTGTAATTATACTATGATGACCGTTAATTGAAAAATTAGTTTTTGATGTGACGATTTACAGATTATACCAAGGCTAGGCCAGAGGACCTACCAACCATCAAAAATCTAAATATGTATTTATTTTTTTGCATTTCTGAGCTTTATTGTTATACTTTAATCCGGTATATTGCTTGTCGATTTTTAAGGAAAAACCACATTTTAAATAACGAATTTCAGAAGAATTCAACAATAATGATATTTTGTTGCCATGAAGTTAAAAAATTTAAAATAAATCCGTAGTTGTATAGACAATTTGTATGTATATGCATAGCCTTCGAGAACAACCTTGGAGAGAATTTATTACTGAGATCACAATCTTGAAAATAGTAAAAACGAATTTCGCAATTAATTGAATTATATTTATTTACATTTAAACTCACTTCAAACATTGACCAAAACCGAGGGTATTTTTTGTCGAATCTACCGAGTTGTAAGATCTGAGCGAGCCGTTATGAGCATGATCCCGAGGATGGACGAATCGTTCATTTGCCCTGATTGATTTACGACCGAATTGATTCTATCGGGAACGACGATTCCGCACTTCGACTCGTAAAGACTAATGATTTTCTTTGGGAAAAAAGGGTCAGCATCGATTTCAGTCGGTTCCGCAGCAGCAACATCGATCCCGACATCACGCGAGGTAGGGTCAACAGAAATTTGTGGCTGCGTTAAATTTATATTTATCTAACTTATTCACTTATGTAATTTGTTTCCCCTTTAAAACTTATTGGGTTTTATATTGGTATGAAGTTTTTTTTATAACAATATTTGAAGAATTTGTCATATCAAAGGTAAGTTATAACAAAAATTTTGATGACTTGTTTCATTTAGTGTGCGTTTGAAAATTATTATTTGGGCACAGCTTTTAACTGGTTTTTCATCAACCCTGATTAGAAAGTAATTGGAAAAACAAACGGAGCAAGTTGTTTATGTTTGTTTCGAAAGTGAAACGTTCTCGGCCCGATAAGACGGCCGACTTGTCAAAATATTGGCCGGAAAGTTTTTTGGACAAATTGACGTCGTTTGCGCATGTAAATAAACGAAACAGGAGATTTGTGTTAATTCGACTTCAAAGTGGGACTCGAGGAACAGGTTTTATATCCACATGTAGCTGCGTGGGCAGAGCCCTTATGACTCATACCTTGGAATGCTATAACACCTGGTCAATTGAAACGGGCTAAAATCACTGTGGAAATGCTGTTTTTCCGATTCGGCACTGGACGGGCGTTTCCAACTGAAGCCGCCGAGCCAACGAGTTTTATGGAAAAAAACGGAAAATCGCATTTTTCACATGAGCCCCTCGTCAAAACGCTGAAATGCAACTCGGTACCATGGTCGTTGAACCGTAAGCAATCTCTGAAATGGGACTCCGTCGTCGCTTCCTTGTTTTACATTTCTGTTAAGCGAGAATGGCCGATAAACTGCACACAAGTAATGTTTCCTCCTTGAAAAAACTCACGAAACGTTTAAAAATCACATAAAAGAGTCCAACTGTGATAAACGTACGAGAAGAAGTAAAATGGCATGTAGTGTAATGTGTACTACAAGTAAATTTATTCTAACGTTTCCCTCTTTTAGACATGGGACGATAAATTTTCCTGATAAGTCCAATTTTTGTAGTCCACTGTTTTGATTGTACATCTATGTGTTTTTCGATAACCTTTTTACATAATCCTCCGCCCAATACTTAATGAAATATATATTAGTTTGTTGGTTGAATTTTACAATAACGTACTTCTCCAGTCTTTAATATGGTTTGTCATGATTCATGAACAACATTATAGGATAGTTTAAAATTTGGAGAGTGTTAAACCGAATCTTGTATACATATGGCCTGCATTGCATACCGGTCTTGCCAAGAATAAATTAGGGCGATCGTCATATTAAAAGAATGTTGGGCAAGTCGGTAGTTGTTCAAGTGTATAAGTTTTGAGGTCTGCAATGGTTAGTTCAATTAGTTTGTTCAAATCAAATGTATAAAATCAACAAATCTAAGTTTGTTCAAATCAAATGTATAAAATCAACAAATCTAAGTTTGTTCAAATCAAATGTATAAAATCAACAAATCTAAGTTTGTTCAAATCAAATGTATAAAATCACCAAATCTGAGTTTGTTCAAATAAAATGTAAAAGTCTCTTGAGGTCTGCAATGGCTAGTCTGAAGACTGTGAAATCGAAGGTCTGCAGGTATTCTGGATAAATTGCCATTTATACCTATTTATCATTTTCTTTTAAAACAAATTTTGGTTATCCTTATTGTTTATTTGTATTTAAGTATTAATACAAGCTCATTGATATATAAATTTTCGTTTAATTTTGTTTTGTTTCATTTCAATCGCCCCATAAATTATCATTATACTTCGTTGAATGTTCTCTCCTTACCTAAATAATTGTATTAATTATTAAACTAAAGATTGACCACTGCTTATTTTTTGCCATACTGTTCTTCTGGCCTCTCAGTAGCCTCGTTTAAATCAAAAATGACTTGCGGCTAAACTAGCTTTGAATAAAATTTGGCTACCACTTACTGCTTATCCAATTGTCACCAATTATCCTTACCAAATCAACGTTAAAAGTCAACCCAATAAAATATTACGTTGACCAGGTCTCCGTTCGACATGTGGTGAAAGTGCAGAGGTTTTTCCTATTGGGCAATTGTTCTCAAAAACCAGCTATGAAAATTATACGCTCTATATAGACACTTGCCCTGAGGTCTTGCTTCTGACGGTTGATGACGTATTAATCATTATTTAAATAAAATCGCTATAAATATTTACCGATATGGGCATTTGCGGTAGGAATGCTAGTCAGTAAAAATTATCGCCTTTTCAAATAACGTGCTATTCAATCTGACATTCCACGTGCTGCTTCTGTTTTAGACCTGTCGATCTATGCAGTTAAAAATACTTACAACAGCTTCCACCCAATGATATTGAAATAAATTGATGCATTGGATTTTTTAAATCTACTTGCATTACCTTAAACTCATTTTCTTCTTTTTTTACATGTAAATTAAATATGAACAGCATTATCTGCTTGAATAAATTAAATCTTCAGCAGCTCATATGTTTTAAAATGTACAGGACAGATCTGTGTATAACAGAAAGATACAGGGGCGCCGGTGGCCACAACGGTTTAGGCTTTGACATGGCGCTCATCACTGTAAGGTGAAGGTCCCGGGTTCGAATCCAGCGGCCCTTGCATTCGAACCCGACATACTTACAAATGGTTATACTGGCACCCTGAAATTTTATATGACCTCTGCGGTTGCGAACCCTCGTAAAAA